TTTTCAGGATCTGAGACACGAAAGTTCCTTGTACGATTTTCTAGCGCGCGTGCGTTTAAATATTGCATTAGATGCATTGCGTGAGGTGCGTTGTGTAGCACGCTCAGCAGATCGTTCTCAAATGGTGCATGCGATGCTTCACGATGCTGTCCAGGCGCACCATCGCCGTACTAAAGCCGCTAGGCAATTAAATACAACAGTGTTACGAACGTTTGGACCGGCGCTTGATGATCAGGTTAAGACTAACCTAACACAGTAAAGTTAAGGAGAAGTTATATGCTCAAATTAGCAAATAGGCTGGAGGCGTATATACGTACATTTGGGAGTTATAGTTACCGCTAAATCTTGACTATGTATCTAAGGGTAATTGAAAAAATAACATCCGTACTTAATGTCTCATTAATACGGTGTAAATCACGACATTAACCAATTACTAGACTATTTAAGCTATTAGCTAGTAGATATATTGCGATGAGACCTGGTTTAGCTTCTGATTGTTTGTATGGTGTGTCTATAAATACTAATTGGCTTTAGTAACCATCAACTCTTAATGAGCGACTCTGAATGGGATAGTCCCCAATGGTCATAGAAATATAACAGATTTACTCAATTAAAATAAATTATTGTAATAGAAATAAATGTTTATATGGTAGCTGATTGGGATTGTAACCGTGTCTTTGATGAGCATGTAAATCTATCGGTTCTGCTTTTAGATTAGCCGCCGCAGTATGATAATGTATTTTCCTAAACAAATATAAGTGAAACTGTAGTACAAATATTTCGCTGGGACTTAATTTTTTGATATCAAAGATATATATTTTATTAATAAAATCATTATTTTTCAGAATATTACTGGTCAGTACGTTAAAGTATACAGTATCTTTCCTAAAAATAAACCAAAACCAAAGGAAGATTTTTCGTCAGCATAATATAACAGTCACAATAACTAAGCAACAATTTGTTGTAACTAAATTTTTATGTTGGTATTAATGTAATCTTGACTATTATTTCGACTATCATTTAATTATATATTTCTATCTATAAATTCGGGTGTTTTTTTTATTTTTGCTAAACCTCTCTAAATAAATTTTAAACATATATTATATAGTTCTGGCATTTCCATTTTTTACAAGAATACGCTGATGCGTGGTAAGGAATTGAAAATAAATAATATTATCGGTAACATAGGATTTAAAAGAAATCCTAAATTATTATTTTGTGAATAACCATGGTTTAAATGGCAGAGGCACTTTAAGTTTTAGATGGCGAATGAAAGTTTAGGAATGAAATTAAATTAGGTATGCTTTGATTTTTAATTCCGTAGAATTCTGACAGTTCATAAGTGTTGCTACTAAAAAAGTTCTCCACCGAAAAAGGGACAGATTTTACTTATTTGATATATTTGACGGCAATAAAAAAATTCTACGTATTTTTTTATGTTTTACCTATAAAAAGGTAAATCTAAATATTTACCTTCTCAAGTGATCTAATACAAAAATAACAAATATTTCAATATCACGAACAATATATCGAAATTAACTTTAATTATTTTATTCTTTAGCTGGCATCACTGCCTACTAATTCCAGGTTTAGTAAACCTTTAAAAAAAAATAAAACGTTATCTTTACTTGTGCGTTTTTTACTGTTTGTGATGAAAAATAACGTAATTACCAGTCGCCGTTAAATCACTTTAAATGCGGAGCACCACACTTAATAGAATGGGTACATTAACTAACAATAAAATGTATGCATAGACTCAGATGTTCAGACTCGTATAGAAATTGAAAAATGTACCCGGCCAAAAAGGTTTGCCATCACTGACATGTCAAAAGATGATAGCTGTCAGAATTCTACGGAATTAAAAATCAGAGTATAGATAGTTGTAATGTTATAAATATAAAAAAAGGAATTATTTAAACACAAAGAAAGACTGTTCTATAATCACGAATATATTGAATAAAATAAAGTATTATACAGTAAATTTTTAACTACGAACAAGAAAAAAATCAATAAGCAAACCTTTACAATGTAAACTTACTATCCCCTATTAACTATAATTAAATGCCCTTTAGATTTTCCTATATTATGAATTGATGGTCTTTATGATAAAATATAATCGCATTCTATTAATTAAAAATTCTTTGAATCTCATAAGTAACTTTAAAGTGTGAAAAAAAATATGTAAAAGTTTTAACTCTAGTAACTTTACTGCAAGCTATGTAAATTTCCTTTAAAAAAATATATTAAAACAAAATGTGTAAATTCGCTTTCTAGAAACACTTACTGCAAGATTTACCGAAAAAACATGCAAAAATATTAAACGAATCATAAAAAAGATATAAAATATTTTAAATGCCTTCAAATCACAATCAGATGCTCGTAAGATATTAAATCAGTAACAAACCTAAAAAAATCATAAATATAGAAATCTTCAGGGCTGATTTAAAATAACCTTAAAATATAAAAAGCAACATACATTTTAATTGGCCATTACAATAGACTTTTTGACTAGTAACATTATTTAGACATTTAAATTGTATAACATGTAGTCATTACACACTTATTAACTTCACAATATTCGATTCCACATTGTGTATAGAATTACGCAACATTAGCCGTAAATTCAAACTTAATATTTTATAACCCATTCAAATTTAATATATCGACTTTAAAATTGAAATATAAATATTCCTATATAACTTTTCACTGTGTTTGCAATTAATTTATTTCGCCTTCATATTTGTACATTTAAGTAATGCCTAGTTAAGTCTTACGTTCAGTTACATTAATAAGCACAGCTTAATGTAAGTGGTCTCAGTATTGGCTAAAACATGAAATGTCTTCTTTGTTTCAAGTACTGTAATAAATATTGAAGACATGCTTTTGTTTCTTCCTCTCGTTCGTCTAAACTAGGGTAGGTTCAAATACAACATACACTTTATATACAACATTTTATACATTGTATATGAAATTAAAAACTAAACGAGCAAATCGAATCTGAAATCGTACAAACCAAACAGTCATGCTTCAACTTTTTTACACTAAAACTATACTATCCCTCTACAAGTACAGTGATTGGCACTTTCACCTTATTGAAAGGCACTAACACTTAATATATTTGAACTTTTCCAAGTCATGGGGTTATTATGAACGTTGCAAGACTGATACTTGAAACTTAGGCATTATGATAACATACATAAGACATTCAATACCATAGTGACCAAGAGATGTTAAATAATATATATTTTTTAAAACACCTGGTCATATTTGTAGATTATTATTTGTGAACGGTGTAATATGTATCTAGGTTGTATTTTATATACCAAACGTTTAGTGGTTAAGATACAAAGTGACATATTCTTATACAATTCCAGTCTCACGAGTTTCTTCCATTCATATGCTTAGCATAACCATGTATCTATCTAAGCACCAAGATATATTAAGTTATAGAATCGATACAATTAAATCGATATTTATCTTCAATTAAGTTCAAACACAATAGTGCCATTTAATATTAAATTTATATTAACTAAACAAATCAATCGTGAACTTATATACCTTATACAATAACTTGCTATACGAAGGCATTGTTCATTTAGCTCTGAGTTATACTTACATTTTTTCAAGACAACATTCATACATTCATATTTTTAATTTGGCCACTGCCAAATATTTACCATAAGTTAAACTACCGTAATTATTACAATTAATTAATTTTTGCACTCTTTGATAGGATTTAAATGGTTTACAATTCTTCAGAACTTGAAATCCCAAGGCCCTTATTCCGTAAAATGAATACCATTTTACGTACATCATGGTTACGAAATTATTTTCATAAAAATAAAGGTAACCATGGTAACACATACTGGAATTTAGTGCACGGTTTAAAAGACCGCTTATTCTCATGACTGGTTGATACATGATTTATCCAGCAAAATAACTCTGGGACTAAATGGCGCAATCAATAATTAACTACGGAATGTAAAATAAAACAATTCATATCAAACCATCCGTGATTAAATAAAATTTATCGTCTTAAAATCTGTATATTGCATCTATAATAATATCCACGATTTCTGACACGGTTCATATTAGATGTTGGTACTACCAAAAAATAATGTATAATAGTTATCTATATGCCAGTATGTCGGGCTAAGGCCCTGGTTTGCTAAGCATCAGTGTTAGACATTTGTATCTTAAAGCACGCAGTTACGCACATAAGCACTAATTGAATGACATGGCAGGCGGCCTATAACTACTTTGTACAGTTGGGAAAATGAAGGTGACATACCCTTTTCTTAACATGACTTATAGGCCTCAAGATATTATGATTACTTTTAAAACATATTTAACCCACTTTTCTTTTTTTAGACAAAGACACCAATCTCTATTAGTTTGTCAAGAGTTTGACAAAGTTCAAAATTGTACCTACAAAAAATAACTGCGTCAAATATTTGTATGCGTTAGTCAACAAGCATAAACATTAACAAACTCATGGTAAATCTTAGAGAAGACTCATAAGAAATTTAATAGTCTACTTTTGCATACACCACCTGGAGGCGAAGTACCCCACGTACTTTATGTACGTAGCGGTAACGGAAATCAATAAAATTTAAGCTTTTTAACCTTTTTACTTGAAAGAAAATTATTTTTTTTATTTTGTGCGAAAAATATAAGTAGGTATAAAGTAAAATTCATCCCCTCTCTCAGTAGTGTTTAAAAGTTTGTACAGTTGTAGTTTTAAGATATAGAGTCTGCGAAAAGTGAGCCGGCGTGGCGATTATGCGAACTAAATATAATTATTATTTTCATTTATTCACAAAAATTATATACTTTTTCATATTAAGAATCGAGATTATGACAGTCGAACTATAATGACGTAAGTGTTGTCAACAACAAAAACTGTAATTTAGTAATGCTGACATACTCTTTCCGCACCGACTCAAGTAATGTATCCAGCTAGACTTATCATACTATAAACTAACTAAATGTATATATTTTTAGGTGTGATCAGACCCGTATTCAGTATTACTGAACATAGACTCCACCATACTGTCAAACTCGGGCACTGCCTCTTCATACATTTTGAGTTGCTGTGAAAGGCTCTCTGAATCGGTTGATATGGATTCATTCGTCCACGCCTCGCTGGCTGAACGCGCTTGTAAACATTCTTGGTAGAAATTGGCCAGTTCGGTTATTGGGCTGCCATCAGCAAATGGGAAATCCTGATAAAAAAATACAATAAAATTATTACGTAATATACCGGAGTGTCTGATTATCAGGATCCGATCCGATTTCAGGTCCGATGATGTCCTCTTTCTCTTACAAATTTAAATTAGTTACAGAAAAACACAGGACACATTGATGTAATAATGACAAATCCTGTCCAGACTATGAATATTGAATCCCAATTGGTATAATTAATAAAAATAAATATGATTCATAAACATAGTGTTTATTATTGTGATGCTCTATTATCTGTGTTAAATGATATTTGTAAATGGCTGACAAACAACTGACTTTTGTAAAATGACAATTCTATCATTAAGTTTCTAAACTTAAACTCTAAAAATATAAACTTCATGTATATTTCCAACTTACCATTAGACTGGCATATTTGTTATCCTTGCACTTAGGCACTTCAACAGCTTTGCTTGCATCTGGAGCTAATGTAGGTTCAGCTTCAGAACTAGGACCGGGCTTTGAGAGAGCATCAGCCATTGACAAGTTTATCTTCTGAAAAAATAGTTTTTGTTAAATTCATTTTTAATCTGAAATAGAAATGATTTGTCATAACAAAACATTACTATATGTACTGTCTACATATCCAATACAGTAACAAGTTTAACCCTAAAGTAGTAGGTAGGTATTTCATCTTTATTTTATTTCTGTAATTTAATTGTCAATGTAGAATGATAACCTTGTATGTAAAAAAAACATTTATTACTATTCGTAGACTCTTATGTCAAATAACTGGTATAATTATGAACTAAGTACTTATTTATGTTATTAATAAAAAAGTCCTTTTTACCATTAAAAACTATGGACATAAACACATGATAATATTTTAACGAACATTGACGAAATGTAAAAAAAAAATCGTTTCCTGTAATGATTGGTTCTCAATCTCAAAACAATGATAGGGACAATTACGAGCCATTGTCTTCTTAATAAACATCTTTTTGTCTAAGGCACGACAGACAGCCCTTGGGCAGACCCTGTTTCAGCGCAGAGGAATCAGTACCCACGTAGTCCTGGAATGCGAGGCTGTGGCTAAACAACGTGCAAAAATCCTCGGAGCAGTGAGGTCACTCCGTGAAGCCTGTGAAGTGGCCAAGAGACTTCTGTGGATCTGGAAGGAGCTAGGCTGGTTAAATTAGCCAAGACTTTACGCACAACAGACCAATTATATGTCTAAGTGCGGAAACTGAGTCCACCAACCTATAACAATGTTTGGTTCTCTGGACATACGAGGTTATCATTCTACAGCGACGATATGTGATGTCCATAAGGATTTTAAGCTGTAATAAGGGATAGCAACTTAGCCATAAAACATTTTTAAAATAATCATGATCAGTAACCCGGAAGTCACTTAAGAAACAGTGTTATGAATTCCAGTTAATGACGGGTTATAATAGGTGATGTATAGTCTATCAATCATATCTTTTTGAGCCTATTTCATTGATATAGTTTGAAAAAGTCTTACTTTTTCCATTTTATCTTTTTCGGCTAAAAGCCACTCCATTGGTGGTGCGGGTGGTAATTGTTGATATAATGCATCATGTAATTCCCTTAGTTTTATGGTATCTACAAAGGCACCAGCTGTTAAGGGTTTTGAAAGGTCAACTTTTTTCTTATCACAGTTAGTTTTCCTGTAAATTTTGAGTAATTTGTTAAGTTTGAGTCACTATCCCATAGGCATTTAATTAGAGTCAAAGCTTAAGATTTAGAGACAAATTGAAATATATCTAAATTTAAGATGATTAATCAGATGTGAGAGTTATTTTGCACTTATTTCTGTATCATGTAGAACTTAGGTCAATTGCAAATATATGTTACAATGGGAAAATTATTATGTTAAATGTAAATGTAAATAAGAGACAGAGACATCATCATCATCTTAAATAACATACCTAGGAATTTCCTTTGGAAAATGGTCACTTTTGACCATTATGTCACTATTGGATATATTTTGAACTTCACCATAGCTTGGTACCCTACTTCTAGGTTCTGGCAAAATAGTCATTTCAGTTCTATATGAAACCTCAATTTCTACAGTACCTATTGGCATGTGCAATTTACCAACCTTTATATTTTTATACTTCTTACCTATAGAAACAAAACACATAAGTACATACAACAGACCAATACATTTTGGGCTTATATTATAGAACAATTTTAATTAATATGCCACCTAAAAATCAATATAGTTTTGCCAGGAATACACTATTAGCATTCTTTTTTTTAACATAACAAATAGTGTACTCTTTTATCATTCAATAATTTTTGCCATATGCAGTTAAATCCATAAAAAAAAATGATAATTAGAAAAAATCATACCAAGAAGGTCCAAATTTGGCTGGCCACCATATATTTTATGTGAGATTTGATAGCAATCTTTGTTTTGCAAGCGAGACATTTTATATGCTGGTGTTATTCTAGATATGCTCAAGGTTGATTTTAACATTATACTCATTCTATAGTATATAGTGGATATGGAAGTAATGGTTGCATCATGAAGAGGACCTATTTTTACAGTCCAAAACTCCAATACCATGTCATCTCCATCATTTGTATGTAAGGATATTTCAATACAGAGGACATTTGAGAGTGCTTGTATGACCTCACCATTTAGAACACGTTTCGTGTCATTGTTTACATCTGGTACGTCTGGTATTGAAAGATTAAACTGCAACATTAAATAAACTTTCTTTACATACAACTATTCAAATACAGGTTTTAATAGATATTTATTGATCAAGGTGGAACCAACTTACCCATTGTAAATTATTTGGTGTACATGTTGTATCACATATTACATTATCATCTGATGATTTAGTAGTGTTGTACAGATGAACAATTTTTCTCCCTTGTCGACTTTGCACTACAATTTGCGCAATTTTTAAAGTCAATATTTTAGTGAATTTATATAGCTTTAATCGGTCCTGAGCATCTGCACTAGACATTTTCCTGGTTTTCTTGGTTTTATTAATTTTATTTTCACCTTCAGTTATTTGTAGAAAAACATTATTCATCTATATAATAATTAAAGAAAGTGCCAACATGATACTAACTGATAACGACTTATTGAAAAGTTTATCAAATCAAATAAGAATATACACGGCCAAATTGTTCACTTCAAGAGAATAATTATTATTTAATCGCACATAACAAACCAACAGATAAATTTATTTGCTTTTGCTTAAGAGTTCATGCTTCAACCTTGTGTAATAAATTATAAAATAATTTCTTTATTCTTACTTTATAATCTGTGGAGACAGGTTTTGCGACTCCTCCACTGATTGGAACCATAGATTACATAACATTTCTAGGCTATAAAGGGAAACCAAAACATCTTTAATGTGTTAAATATAAAGTGAATTTAAAAACCTTGAGACAACTAACAGTTCATATAATAGATAGCCTGGGGCTTCAGACAAATCACTTATCGACAGGTGTGACCCAGTAACGCCAAATTTTTATGAAAATGGTCACGTCATCAAGAGTAATGTCGTTCCCATACAAATTCGTTTAAAGTTAGTCATTCCTGTCGAAAAGTGATTTCGTCTCAAGCTGGACTTACTACAATTCATAAGTCATCTGTGTAAACTGCTTTCTTTTCAGGTAATTCCATAGATTATAGAATAGAAAACCGGCATTTCGGAATGTACAATAGGGTGGGTCACTCTAGTTAGGAAAAAAATAAAAGTTGATGAATCAAATTCTAATAGTAATATTATGTTGTAGTGTACTATAAAAGTATGTTTAGCTAAAAAACGGATAATAAAACATATATCTTCAGCCCGCGCATGAGCTTCAAAGTTATTAGTTTTTGAGAAAAACATGTGTAATACGATAGTTCTTTATTAGAAATTACTTAAAATACTATTGAAACATTACAAATATTTAGTGAAAGACATATATATTCACGTTTAAAACAAAACACTTAAACAAATAGACATAAAGGTTATCAAAAAATTATGTATTTTTATACAAAAAATCCCGCCTACTATTGAATTTCGCCATAACTTTCCTTGAAGTGAGTTTCACTTCCGATCACATGCCGACATTGCAGCTTCAGTCACTATCTTTAAACTTGGTTCAACCGCCAGTATATGGCAAGGTAGCCTAATAAACAACATCCTTTCGTCACCTTTTTCTCCATTATCTGAATAAGTTCGTCATTAGTTTGATTTCTTAGAATAGGTGGATGAAAGTTGGTTTCTGGCCAGTTTATTCGATTAATGTAACATTTAGCATCAAAATTAAGCTTAGGAACTTCAAAAGTGCGTGGTAGTTTTCCCGTTGTAGATGAACAACTTTTAGAATTCTTCTAGCTGCAAGTTCTCTTATATGCTTTTCTTTATCTGTTAACATCGCTAATAGTAGATTTTTAGAGTGGGCAAATATGTGTTTCGTTGAACAATAGGATCTAGGACTGCTTTTAATGCACTTGATAAAAATCGCGAACATTTAATCAATGTTCGCGTTTTACAATGTATTGGGCCAAAATTATAAAATTAGTTGATGGCGTTGGTGTAGAAATGTAAAGCCGCAAGATCTGATTTGCCTTAGTCAACCAACGAGCATGTGATATTTATCCAGGTGATTTATTTGCTAAGTTCTTCCAGTAATTACTGCTAAGGTATACAAAAACTTTTGGTCTGTGCTTAAGTCATCAGGTTTTGACCTGGTATTGACTCCAATTCAATTACAACTTGCATTTCACACTGATCCAGCAACAAACCAATAGGACCATTGTACGTAGATGGACCAGAAGTTTTACCATCCATATAATCAAACAAATGCCTCAAGGGCAGTTCATTTCAATGCAGCAAGCAAATTATCCATTGCAAAGGTCTCTGAAGTCTTTTTTCAAATAACCTTATGACACTACTAAATTTACCTGTATTTGTTACTGTTCCATCGCATCCAATAGCCAGGAGGTCAACAGTACTTATATATTTGGCGAAAAGAAAAGCGTTTATACCTCAATGGCCTTTGCAGTTCCTTGTAATGCTTTCAGGAGCTGAATGACTGTTGTATGCGAGGCTACAGGGATTGATGCCTTTTCTCCTTCAATTTCTGCAATTTCGGAAAACGCAGGCTCTTATTTACTGCTATTTTTAACTTTCTGTAGTCTATCCACTCGTAACATTTCATGACATCCTGGTATATTGATAACACGATTTCTTTTATATCTTCTATAGTTCTTAATATATATAGGGCACTTGTAAGACTGTCTATTATTTGACATGATAGAAAAATTTGATTTCCAAGTTCTTAAGCAAAAATACATAGTTTACAATTTCGCAACATTTCACTAGAAACTAGCCACATTGATACATAAATTATCTGAATGTACTTACCTCAAAAAATCTTCTTTTAATAAATAACACAGTTTATATAAGAAAAGTAATGTGTATTTTAATGGAAACTTATTAAAACATTAAACTATACCCAATGTCAAACGTGTAACTTAAGGTGTAAAAGTGGGTACCTGAGCTATTTATTTCAAAACTTCGAGGGCGTTGCGCGGGCTGTTCCACTTAAAATAATTAAATAATATTTTAAAGGGTTTATAACAATACCTAACTACAACATATTTTCGCTATTAGAAATCGATTACTTAAAAAAAAATTTTTTGACCCACCCTAATGTACAATAAGTAAGCCCTGCAGCTGTATAGGTTTAGGCCGACGGCCATTAAGCATTTTAAAAATAAATAACCTTTTGCATTCATTACTTCATTCGAATATGCTAGACGGCTTACGTATTCACATAAACGCCGTAGTTCTATCGCTAATATGTTTGATGAGGAAAAATAAAACAATATGATTAACCTTGTCTTATTTATTATTCAGTAAAAAAATAATTATTTCTTAAGAAAGAACATGTATAAACTTTTCAACCACAACACTATAATTAATCCCCTATCTAACATTTTAATTTGGCAACATATTTAACAATATCCTGAATTGCCAAAAATATTAATTGATAATCATGGTTTAGACACAAATAGCACTAGTTAAAAGATACATTCAGAAATGAGTTATTGTGGAAGATAAACTGAATTGAGCTTTAACCAATAGTAATCCACTTTCCACCATTTTACAAGCGGTTAAGGAGAAGTTTAGATTTTAAGTATTCCTCTGAGTATTGATCTGAAAAGAAAAGTAATTTATTGTCCTGCACAAAATGGTCAGTTAAAAATAATAATTTAATCAAACTACATCAAAAATAAATAAGATATGTTACTACATAATAAACTTAATTACTATATTTAATAAAAATAAATGTATATAAATGCAGTCTTATAATTACTGATACTAACCTTTTTTCTTATAAAATTTTACTGCCTCCACAATTGTATATAGGAAAGACAAACTTATAATTCCACAAAAGAACAATAGCCACCCATACTGAAATTTTAATTTATTATAAGAGAAGCAATCACATAAGTAAATAGTGGGACAAGCCTAGTGAAACATTTACAATCCTTGGAGAATTAGCATTTAGATTTTTTTAGGTTTTTATATGAATTTAAATTTAGTTTCAAAACTTAACAAACTATTTTATCTACGATGATGATTAGATATAGAAGATGATGAGTTTTAAGAAGATGTGAGATTGAGATGTTCAGATATCTAATGGAATACCGGCCTTTGACTAAGACTATATAAACACAATATATAACCTTTTCTTCACATTCTGTTTCCCAATCAACAACAATAATGTCTTCATACAATTGGATAAAGTGTTGCAGTGGGCACAATTCTCCACAGTTAGGAATGTTTAAAACATGGGGTTCCACAATCTCAGTACTGTTTCTATATGAAAGTTGAATATAATATTCAGATTCTTTTTCTGCAATAAATATAGCTTAAATAAATAAAAAAAATATTATACTCATACAAATAATATCATAAAAAGCTAGTTTATTTATTTCTTGTAGTAGGTTGTCATTTTATTAAATAAGGCTAGGCTATATACAGCGCGCAAAAAATATCATGACATGTATTATTTTTTTTTTGTAAATAGTAGTTTTAACTTACCAATAAATTCAAAAAGTATTGTTGATGTATATTCAGGGCAATTTCCATTGTATACACTTAATCCATTTAAAACATTACCAATAGTGAAATCATGTCCACTATACATTGATAATCGTAATTTGCTGTCTCCCAATATAACACTTAATGCTTGCTTTAAAATATGTTTCACCAATGGACCAATCATAAAGCGTGTCATTGCTGGAGTTGCTGTGGCAGTAGTGAAGCTAAAAATATTTTATTATGTTACCCTTGGATGATGTAACACAAATGTTACAATAATCATTGTTTAATGCAAACACTAAGGTCGAATAAGGTTGCACCGCAAGAACTTATAAAATATATAATTTGTAAACAAGGTAAGAAACACTGGACAAAATCAATATTTTATCAGCTATCCCCAAGCCAACCCATTTCAAATTATAGTCACTGTTTGCTTACTCAATTAGACATGAATGTACAAACAAGTTAACATTGATATTTTATGTTAGTCAGAAAAAAGGTTTAATATAATAACTAAAAAAACTTTGAAACCTGTAACAAGCAGGACTCTTCATTTTATCAGGGAACACTGCATGTGTCCAATTTGGCAATGTGAAGTTATAAAGAGCTTCAATTTTTAAGGTACTGTAAATTGATGAAATATCCTCATAGTCTCTGATTTTTCTACCAGTATATTTTGTGAGGTAGCTGAGAATGTAAAATTAAACAAAATTAAAAGCCTGCATCAAGAAGAAATATGATAGTGAAAAACATTAACTAAGAACATACTCCATAAGGTCTTCATATTGCCTTAAACGATTTTTATAAACTTCTGAATTCAAATAAACTTTTTTCAACTTTTCATACATTTTACACTCTTTTTTCATTGCTAAAATTTCATCATTTACCTCTGGCTCTGTATGTACAGGTATAGGTTGCCAGAATAATTTGGGATTCCAAGTAGAATTCACATCTGGTGGGTACATACCTATAATTAAAATGATAATTATATAATACAAAATAAATCCAGTGCTGGGTGGTTACAATTTATTCCGTTAGCATTAATATCTTTCATACATAGTTGTAATCATTAAATTAATATCTTTACATACAATTTTTAAATAAATTATAATACATTTTTAGTTTGAATAACCCATGTTATTCTATAAAATGGAAAAAATTATATTAAAAAAAGTAAGTCCTACCAGCTAAGTTAGCCTGAGCTGACATAAGTGTACGATCAACATCAGTTGACCGAACATAAACAGCTTCTGGATCAAATTCATCAGTAATGAAATTCTGCAATAAATGGTAAAATACTGATTCAACATAAAATAACCATACAAGAACTTATTAAATAATGTGAGCTGGGATGATCTTTGTAAATCTGAATTCCAAAACTTATTAGATCCAGTTGGGAAGGTCTAACAAAGCCAGTTATTGTCTTAATTTTTATGCACGCCGCGCTCTCGAACAATAATGTCGCCGCCAATGGTAAAATGGCAATGCCAGCCCAGGAAACCCACTAGTGACAAATCCACTTCTCACAGTCTCAACATAATTACAAAATAATGATAGGTACAATTTAGGCCCAGTCTATTTCATAAACATTTCTTTGTACTAGATGCGACAGTCTCTTGTGTAGAGGAATCGGTCACCAACATAGTCCTGGAATGCTTGGGTGTGGCTTAATACAGCAATGAAGATACACTGCCACAGGGACCAAACTTTTTAAATTTATTATAGTTTGCAAAAATCATTTGTGTGTAAGTTAAGAGGGTAAATAATCTACTGAGCTTTAAAATATAGTATATTCTAAATTACAATATTAATATTGCCTTACCACATATCTTTGTCTAAGCCATTGTCCTAATTTGTAGTGTTGCATTTTGCCAATGTTAGTCAGCTGTCCAAATTTTACTGGCCAGAATGATTCCTCTCCCCAAGGATCTGTTGGATATGTATCGACTGGAGTCCTATCACCATGTCGATATATAACCGCTGCATACCGGAGTTTGTATTCGTTACAAGTGGAATAATGAATAATAAGACACAAAAATGGTAGACATTTAAACATTGTTTGGCGAGGTAGGTTATTCACCATCGTAAAAACCGTGTCAATTGAAAACGAAGTAATAATATAACGTTTCACTATGAAGAACGCTAACGCAGTCACAACATTTTAAAGTTTAAACTAGATAGACGTTCATCTCTTTGCTGTAAATGCTGCCTCTGCTAATGCAGTTTACTGATAATTGATAATAAAACAAAGTAATAACCTTAGATGTGAGATCTGAAAAGCCCACTTATCATTTAACCAAGATATATATGATACTATTACATTACTAAATTATAAACAATAGTATACTATATCTATGCACTTAATTTTTTAATAATTTAGATCCATCGACTACATAAAGAAACTTAAATAAATTTGATAAGTATTTCAAGAAAACATTATATTTTTTTAATAATACATATTATAGACTATAGAGTCCTTTAACCTTTTCATGAAAGAAGTCCCCCAGACGCGGCGCTGTATTTTTTTTTTTTTTGAGTTTATACTTTATGGCCTGGTATCTAGACCTTTAAGGGGCGTTCCCACGAGGCGTTAATCACGACAGTCAACCACGCTTTCGTGAAATACACTTCTGTGTGAACGCATAGGCGTTAAACTTGCTTTCGTGAGGAACGGCGCACGACACAAGCGTGGATAGATCAAACGTGTTTGATTTTCAGTCGTGATATACCGTTCGTGAAGCCAAGATGTCGTCACAACAACGTGGAATTAAGTTTAACGACAGTGAAACTACGCGTTTTTTGGAGTTATATTCTATGGAAAAGGTGTTATATGATCCAAGTTTGGAGGAATACCGTGATAGAGATTTACGTGCCGCCGCAGCTAAGAGAATAAGTCATGAATTAAATATTCCTGGATTTGGAACTTAAAACAGCACAACTTTCAACAACCAGATCATTCATGATCGATGTTTCGATAATGACTAAGTCGAAACACGAAGCGTGAACGGCACGAAATCCCCCAACCATGTGAACGTTTCATCAATTCACACTTTCGTGAGTGTCACGAACGACAGTTGACTAGTGTAGTTGACTGTCGTGATTAACGCTCCGTGGGAACGCCCCATTAGGCCAACGCGGCGCTGTAATCGCGTGACGTAATGTTGCCTTTTATGAGTAAAGAATTTACCTATTTTACATTTAGCATAATATGTAATTTTTCAAATAATACTATTTTCTGCATACTTCGATGAAACAATATTTCTGTTATGTAAAAAGTATATTTTTATTTACTTATATTAGCGGTGTTCTACCTACTTACAGGGAAAAGATGAGAAAATAGGGTAAAGAAAAGCATCACAACTTTTTATTCAGAGTTTTATTGAATAATTGTGATCAGCGGCCATAGAAACATCACTGTCTGCAGAGTGGATAGAAACAGAATCAGATTCTGTTTCAGTATCACAAGCCGTAGATATAATTGTTTTTTTTATATTGATACTATTTTGGATGCGGGCGACTCTTCCCCGGGGTGACAATTTTTTTCGAAGTACTAGCCGCTGGTATACCTTCTTTTGATTAAAAAATTCTTGTTACAGTTCTCTCTGACACACCTGCAATTAAATAATGAACAATTAAAAATAATAGTAACTTTAAGTTTATAATGCGTATGTACTGTGTAATATATGTTTTAATTTCAGTTACCTAGTTTCATTCGTTATGTATTTGTTCAAATTTGTCGCAAAATGAATTTATATCATAAAAGTCCCATTAATCCAGCAAAAAATTATTTTGTGGCAACTCTAAAAAGTACCTGTTATGGCGGCTACTCATTTCTGAACATTGTTTAGTGGTATTAAAACACCTTGATTCTTTTGTTCCGCTTCACATAACTCTTTCACCTTTAATTTCATTTCTCGAGCCGAACTTTATACAACTTTTAAATTGTAAACAATCTTTAAAATGCACTAAGCTATTTAAAAACTAAAAAAATCTACCACAACAAACGAACTTGATAACAACGACGAACGGCAACATGGCCGACCTGTCAAATTTAGTTCCAAAAATCTTCGCGGGAATTCTTTCATGAAAAGGACTCTAGTACTAGTAGATGATAATATTAATTTATCCCTAATGGGAAAGGCAAAATACTTTAGTCCATACAGCCAGTTAAGTGCCAGAACTAGTAGAGCTCTAGCTTGTCATTCTTAGGGGCTTAGTCAAGCCTCAAGGCGCCTTAACGTATAGTGTATGTAGAAAGTCGAAAACTAAATTTGTATGACAGTTCATTTCGACAGTACAGATACCGGCAAACATCTTGAACAAATGTCCTTGCCTGCGTAGAAGCGATTTTTAGGTATCACTGAGAGGGGTAGGCGGCGTGCGGTGGTGCGCAGCGGCGTGATTGGTAAATCAGTTGACGTTGGTGGCCGTACGATGCGCAAGCTTTTCCCCACTGCCTTGTTTAATGCTAAAGAAGTTCGCCGGCATCTATACCGCTATGTCGGAAACCTAGGCCCAAAAGGCGTGAGAAATAATGTCACAAACTTCTATTGTTTTCATAAAGGCTATATTTACATCACTTATTTAGAGCTATTCTCTCAACGAAAATGCACTGCCACAACTCATAATATGTACTGAGATATTTTAAAATTAGAGTGTTTTGCAAACACTATATGTTTGTAAAACAATATACAGTAAATGCAGAAAATAACAGAATATATACTGTATCTACAGTGCAACACAGTTACAATATTGGTTGCTTGGAATGCAGTGAGCAGTTTTTTACATATTTTATATTGTCAATTAAGTGAAGTTAAATTAATGATGACAACGATCGTAAAATTACAAACGATTAACGATTTTAAAACTTCGACAGCCACACTTAGTGCGTTTTACAATTACAGCACTAGAGCGCATTATGCGGCATAATGCTCAACGTTGAATGTTCCAACTACAGCAACGCTTCGCACAATTGAGCACTCTCAAAAGTAATGCTCTCGCGTGCTTCTCGCAATCAATACCAACACAGTGACAGAAAATTGACCAGTGTTTTTCTTTAAGTTGGCATTAATCGAAATTTTCGTTAGTAAATATTATTTATTGTTGAAAAATTTGTAAGGCTTTCGTTTCGTTGTAGATTTTGAAAATAATTAAAGTTATTTCAAACGGTTAAAAAAATATATATAAGTATGGATGAAGGTCTATAAGGTAAATAGTCACTTTTTATATTCCACATTTTAAATATAAATACAATTTCATTTTAAAATTCGGATCTGTAAACAAATTTATTTTACAGGATTATACTTTTGTAAACATTACAATGGTTTTGAAAAAGTATAGTTTTAGAAATCATTTAAAAAAATTACTCAAAACGTAAATGATGTAAACTTCTTACATGAAACTAAATATTTTACTGTTATTTTACCTTATATTCTTTAAAGGTTTTCTCTTATTTCAGTAAAAAAATGTTAATGAAATAATTTGATTATTAAAATAAGCGTAAATAGTTTTCAACCAATTATTATTGTTTACCACATTATTTTTACATTAACGAGGTTGCTAACTCATTCAGAACATTTTTTTTTTTTCAACACTGATTTAGCGCACTCTGCTGATGCATTTGAAAACTAATTCACGTTCCAATTAAGCTTCTGCATTGTGCGGCACTGAGTCGCATTATGCTCTGTAATTGGAAAACGCACTTAGGCACACACACAGCCACAGACTACCTAACTACCCCGAGCATCTTACAGACTGGAATTGAAATAAGTCACTTTCAAATCTTATTTGTTGATTGTCAGATACTTATAAAAATTCGAGTTTTCAGTTTTTCTCATACTTTTCTTCATTGGAATGTTCAATGTTGACTTGGTACATAATTGGTCTTATTTAGAACTATTTTAAAATGTGTTTTTAAGAAACTGTGTTTATGTGCAAAATTTTAGATTTCTTAGATTATTGTAAAGTTCCCGTTACTAGAATGAGATCACGAAAAGTTTGCGCGTAAATTAATGTGTTTACGGTTTGTTACCAACAAATTTCATCATGTCTATTTCTTACCTAATTTTCTTTTGTTTTTCCTTTATTCTAACGTAGCTTTTGTTTTTTTATATAAGTTTCAGTATATTGCCTGAATGCTTTTTGTAATTATTAATGTTTGTAGAATTCCTACAGAATTCGTTAAGTAACTTCTTTGATCTGTATAAATGCATCTGTGTACTGTAGAATAGCTTTTTAGCTAACGTAGAACTCTGCTCCCATCACATAGGCTATAATTTTTAGTGGTATAAGTGGTTTTAATTTTAAGAAAATAGATTTTTATTTGTATAGTATATTTTAATTTATATATGCATAATATAATGTTTTTTTATGGTCAAATTATTTTTTCAGATTCTTGCAATGTGCATTGGATCTTATCATACAATATTGGTCTTCAAATAATATTTTTGCAGCAATGACTAAAACATAAAACATATCAATACATTACTCAAATGCATCACATTTTTTAAAGAACATGTAACTGTGTTTGTGATTGAACCATAGTTATTAGAGGCATTTTATTTCTGTCTTGGTATATAGTCTGATGGAGTCTGATAATAATAACATCACAAGTAAGAATAAGTCTAAAGGGAATGTAAAGAAAAATGAAAAGAAAAAAAAAATGAAGAAAATAAAGGATGCAGATCTGAAAAAAGATAATTCCACCAATGAAGATAGTGTCCTCAATAAGAGTGGGTCTCCGAGTTCTACAGATAGTGAAGATCTAGTCAATGCAATTAATTACAACACCATCACATCCTTAGCAGCTTTAAAAGATATAATTCAAGGTGATAGTAATGATACTCCGGAAACTGATAGTTTTTTTCAACACTATTTTATGAATCACTGTAATAATCTCTCAAGTCGTACTTCTAATTCGCCTTTTCCGTACACTGAGAGACGGCGTTTGTCACAGTGCCGAGAAGAGGACGAAGATGATTACAGAAAAGATAACTCATCATCTAACTCTCCATCAAAAGCATACGACATTAAAAATGTTAGTCAGAAAAATAAATCACCCAAGACACACCAAGAAGTGAAGGGCAGTAAAAAAATTCATGAAGACAAACCCATAGAAGATGAGTTGTCTGAGCGAACTGTAATGGGAGCAAAGCATAAATTCTTGGTTACCACGGCAGAACCTCCACAGCAAAGAGTAGAGCGTGCATTGAGAATGCATGTCAACAATGCTCATACTGTTCATTTTGGTACCAAAGGTGCAGAAGAGTTAAGGCCTAGTGTTCGATCAATATTCACTGGTGAGAATCTTCATCGTGACAAAAACTATTTTGACAGTAGTTTAATAGAAATTAGATCTACTGTTGATGGTGTACTGACAAGTTCTGAAGATATTTGGATTAAGAGAACAAATGAAAAACCAGTAAGTTTCATTTTCAAGGACATTGTTTTTACATATTAAAGAGGTGGATGGTCTAACCTCATAAAACTGTCTGGAAAAAATTACATGTTTATTCCTTTCAATTCGGAAACGTCCATACAGTATTTTATTAAATTAATTGAAATTGCAATCAGCTATGAATTATGCTGGTCTTTTCTGTTCATAACTAATTCTATTTTCAGATACAGGTAATTTCCCCTAAAGAAGCAAAAATTACTGTTGATAAAACAGCTAAAGCAGAAATGCCAGAGCAGGACCAAGTTGAACCAATCCGAGCCCGTTCTGGAACCTGGGGTTCCCAATCTCGTAAAGAAAAAGATATCAAAGTCATTGATGTTAAAAAAATTAAAGATATACAAAAAAACAATGACGACAGAAGGAACAAAAGAGGTAAGTTCCTATAACATCCGGGCCAGTACCATAGATTTTCAATCCAGACCTTAGTTCTGTTCAATTTAGCAAATTAGATGTTTTTATAATACCACATAAAACACTATTTAATTGAACAGCACTTCAATAAAGATAGTAACTATAGACTTATTGCTTGATTGTCTCAAAATTGAGATCTTAATGAATTAGGATATTACAGAAAATCTACAGTAAAGAATGCTTACAAAATTAAGAATTATTTATTATTTATATATTTATTGATTATTTTAATAATGGGTGTTTGTGATGTATGCAAATATCAGATATATTGCTACTGAGAAGGCAAAATTTTATTGTGTTTTAGTGATGAATATGATTCCTAATATAAAAAGTTTTAGCCAAGTATCATATGATACTACTTCGACGTTTTAGATCATTATTACGGTGTATAAAACAACTATTTCCGAATGAATAATATGCTAGTGATGAAAATAATTATTTATTGTAATCACTATACTATATGGCTGACCTTATATTGAAACATGTGCACCTTATACATGTGCGTTGTGTGCCCATAGAAATGCAGGGACAGAAATTATGAATTTTCTTCATTACTCAATTGTAGCACAATTTTAGTACTATTTATGAAATGTTCTCTAATAATATATGAAATGGGTCATTTTATATAGATCTCGTATCATCATATTCATGAGCACCATAAAACTTGATTTGTATGCAAAACATTTTTGTGTCAGTATGGGCCAGTGAATAATTTGGCAAAACTGGCAGGGACTTAATTATTTTAATTCACAAAAGTAATTCTGGTCTTCGCGGTGTACGCACTTTAACTAGTATTTAGTGCTCTTAAGAGAAGTAAGAATTGGACTTAGAATAGAAATATAAACTGATTGCCTCTTAGGTTACCTCTTACCGTAGACCCATCATGTTAATGAATTAAAAAAAAATCGTTGGTTTTAATAGTAATAATCGTAGGTAGACAAGGCCTTTGCGGATACTTGAGATTACAGTAGTTGAACGTAATATCGATATGATTTCAAGTCAGTTATAAATCACAAAGGAATCTCTCTAGTCTCAAACCCTTTTATTAGTGAAATATAGAAGTGAGATCATAACGACATAAGTGACCTTGATATTTATTACATATTCTATATCTGTCGCTATGTAACGAGTTTTCAGTTAGTATTGTGGTTGATATGACACAACACACTTCGTTAAAGAAACGTTTTTTTTCGTACAATGATTTACAACAATAACAAAATTAAATTAACTTTATATTGAAGGATGACGAACGAACTGTAAATATAAATATGTTAATCCAAAAATATAATTTTGATAGCCTTTATTTAAACAGTCAATTAATTTAAGTACATTATACAACTTGCTGACTGCATCAGTTATAACTAGGGAGCTGGCGAGCGTTTAAGCGTATGATTTGCTCTTATTTCGTATTGATAGGAATTAAAGATCGGACCGATACGACAATTTTTTTTATTAAATTCGTACGTTGCTCCGTTTTTAAGCTTTAACAACTTTAATAGGGGTGTAAAAAAAATCGATACTAAATCATTTGCTCGTGTCTGCCTCTGGGGTAATGGTCAATATCATTTATATAACAAAGAAAATCTATCAAGCAGACATCCAGGTCTCTCCATTATCACAGGAGGTAGATGAAAGGACTAAATCATTTGCTAGAAGCTGTTAAAACAAAAAAAGGACGGACATTTTACTTACTGACTTCAAGGCCTGAATTCACTTTGATTAGTGATTAGGAGAAAACAAGTGTGGCTGCGTAGTAACGTGATTAGAAGCGTGTTATATTTTTTTGCGAGTGAACTGCGAGTAGCCACGTTCCTTGCGCCCTCCCTTCCCCCTCACTCGCAGCGTGCCTGCCAAAACACGTCTGGATAGAAAGCAGGACTCATCGGTCAACCTGAGAGCAAATAAATATTCAGCAGCCAATTCCTTAAAGAGTGGGTAGCTTGCGCCATGAATGGGTTTTTTTTATAGAACAGAGGCAAACGGGCAGGAGGCTCACTTGATGTCAAGTGATACCGCCGCCCATGGACACTCAATGCCAGAGGGCTCGCAAGTGCGTTGCCGGCCTTTTAAGAATTGGTACGCTCTTTTCTTGAAGGACCCTAAGTCTAATTGGTTCGGAAATACTTCAGTGGGCAGCTGGTTCCACAAAGTAGGTACTCCAAAAACTTCCTTTAAAAACGCTCAGTTGTGGAACGGCGGAAGTCGAGGAATTTCGTATTCTGCCTTGACGTCCGATGATGAAACTCAGCTGCAGGTATTGATCCGAACAGCTCCTCTGAACACTCTCCATGGTAAATGCGGTAGAAGACGCAGAGTGACCCCACATCTTTACGCAACGTCATAGGATCAAGCCGCTCGGAGAGGGATTGGTCGTCGACGATTCGAACCGCTCTTCGTTGAATACGGTCAAGTGCTAATGATTGTATCTAAATCCTATACTACTTACATAAGCAATTCAACATTCATCAAACAAACATCAAACAAACATCAAACATGTACATTAAATATTTTTTAAAACTGTGTTTCGTAAAATGATAACTAATATCAGTCTGTTTGTTCAGTCTTATTGTAAAAACTATTATCCTAGACACAATTTGTAGTTGTTAGGTTTAATATATACAATCTTCATATTCAGAATTCGTCGAAAATTACTGTAATTTCATATAAATTACTAATGTCCATATTTTATCTTATTTCCAACTCGTACGATTATTAAGTAGTAAAAAACAGTTTCATATATGTATAACGTTAAATTAATTAACTTTCGGTTAAATTCTCGAGATGCCATTTACAAAGTTACCATAATAAGCTGTATAAGATTATGTCATGGTATGTAATTCGTATGCGTATTCAAAGCCAGTATGAGCTTGTACGCATTGTGAAACAACAAGGAATTTGCACACATGTGATAGTATAGTACGAGTGCATACACTAGGTTATTTTAGAAATGTTTAATGGGTCTATGTGAATTTGCGGCTAATTGCGAAAACAGTAAATAATAGCTATTTTCTGTGACGTAATCTAAAATAGGCTAAAAGTGGAATTGTGTTGAACAATATAGGAAATGTATTGATATTAAGATTATTATTTATATACCAAATATTAATTATACTAGATAATACATGTACATATTAATAAATCGCAAATAGGTTGGCTAAGCCCAGTCTGAATCGACTAAGACACACGAAGTACAACGTTTTAATGTCCTCGACGCAATTTACTTAAAGTAACTAAAATATCTATTTATATAAATAATAATATATACATTGTTTGTTATACATACCTACATATATAGACCATATCTAAACAGGACAACACCATTTTGAGCAACTCCTAAATTCCCCCTTTGTGTGCTTATCATAGCAATATTAGTGTTTCCGAGTTTTGATAACATGTGATCGTTTCAGACCAAAGATTGGATGCCGCCATTACAAGAAGTACTCAATCTGTTGGTGAAAGAAAAAGGCGAGGCTCGGCCGATGATGCTCATTCTCATCAGCTATATCAGCAGACAATTCATGGTAAAATATCTAATATTATATTCATTAATATGTTTTCTCCGGTGAATCAATTTCCTCACCGGCAGACGCTAAAAATGAATAATAAGCTCACTCTAATGTTAGTCTTCTGATCGCTTTTACAAAATACCTACCTGTTTTCGAGTTCTATATTTAGTGTATTTGTAAATTTTTACTGTTACGTCAATGCGCTATGGAAAAATCTGACTCCTTATAATTACACCCGGATACAGAAATACATGGATGGAAAATAAGACATGGGCAGTTGATAACTGGTTTAAATATGATTTTCACCTAACACACCTTTAATAGGTTCCATGCATCTATTCTATTGTTCTGTACAGGAACCACCGGGGTGAGCAGAAGACCAGCTTTGTTTGATATGTTCAAATCTCGACCCCGCGGTGATAATAAGAAACAGCCAACTATAATACAGCAGTTTAAAGCCGCAATGCAGGTGAGATTTTGAAGTAATCTTTGAAAAATATAATTCGTAATTATTCTTCTCTAGACTCTAATATACAGCTCAAGGATCTTTACAGACGTTTTGATTCTTTCATTATAATTTTGTAAGACCAGTGTCCAGGCAACCCGAAACGAAACCAAGATCTCCAAGTGTAAGCCACATGATAGCGCATCTGTTATGAGGCCATAGAGTCGGTTAATATGGTATTGAAGAAACGAATGGCAAAGTACCTCGGGTATTATTTATTCGGAATTAAGTCCCCATAACTTTTTTTTTATAATATTGTACTGTATTAATGTTACCAATTACATTGCAAATTTTTAAAGATATTATGTTATACTTAGATTCGCCGGAAATAAACCTTAAATATGATAACATGTAATAAAAATTTTGTATAGTTTATTATGTGTGTAGAATTTAATATATAGAAAAAAGTTACATATAAAGGTATAAATATTTTATCCCTTCACTTCAACCTATTAACGCGTATAATATTTCTTCTAGAACATAACAAAGGCAAAAGAAGGAGAGAAATTAGAAGTTTCAAAACCCGAGAGCAAAACTGATGGCGCCTCTTGTTCGAGTCAAGCAAGCAAAGTCAAAGATGGTTCTGCGCATCCGCATCCTAGTAGCGACGCTAAAGTAATTATTTATTTTTTATAGATGATATCTTACAAAAGTTTTAACGCTCTGTATACAATCTGATATCAATTATATGATAAAAAGATTTTACAGAGATTTTTTTTTCTTGAAAAAAAAAAAACATGCAAGTCATTAATAATATATAATGTACAAGGGGTGGCGTAATGGATATATAGTAGGGTCCTGCGAACCTTGTGGTAATTTAGAAAAATATGTATATATAATAAAAAATATGTAATACTTAATTTAAACATTGAAATTGGCGTTTTGTATGGGAGGAACAAAGAGTAGATTTTTTTAGAATAGAATATACTTAATAAATCAAAGTATATATGTACTATTGCTATCTATGCCCTTTTGCCATTTTATAGTAGTTCATTGATCCCTTTACTAAAAAAAACATTCGGACGGGAATCCATAAAATCTATGAAGGCGGTTTCGACTGCCCCATTAGTGTTGAAATCTTTACCTTGCAAGAAGTTATCCAAATTTAAAAAAAATGTTATCTGTTGGGGTCCGGAGAGTACGGTGAATGTCTTAGACATTCCAATTGAAGCTCCTCTAATTTGGTAGCAGTCTGTTCTGCAGTGTGTGGTCTAGCGTTGTCGTGAAGCAGCAGTGGCCTAGAGAGGAACCAGCCTTGTTGTTTAGCAGCTAGCTTTTCCATCATAGTTTAAAGTTGCTACCAATAGACATCTGCCGTATTCGTCTGGCTAGATTTAAGAAACTTTTAGTGAACGACCCCGGCACTAGTCCACAAGTGACTTTTTCGGAGTCAATTTTCGCTTGGGGCACGATTTGACTGGTTCGGCTGGGTTCAGCAATTGCTATGAGCGCTTCCGTTTATTGTACAGGATCCAATTTTCATCACAGGTAATGAATCTATTTAAAATCCCTTCATTATTATACCGGTTGAGTAATGAGTAACGCAGCAGTCGACGCGCGTTTGTCGATTTGCTTCACTCAATTTGTGAGGTTTGTGAACCGACCCACCTTTCAAGCTTTTACACCTTCCCAATTTGCTTCTGCGCAAATTGAATTTGGAATTCCTAACCAAAGAGGAGATATTTGAGGTCAAAGTGGCCAGTATGACAAAACGCCAATTTCATATGTATAGTCAATAGTCAATTTTCAAAAAGGTCACATATATTCAGGTATTCTCAACATATATTTTTTCGCTGGTTTAATCGTATGTACGATGGTGACTCGTATTCAATTTACGCACGCAATTTACTGAATATCAAGTGAATTAATGTAAATATATGATTTACATACTCGTAAATAGACAACCGTGGAAAATTAAATTAAAAATTATTGGTTTACGCGAGTACATAAAAAACAACGTAATCTCTCGCTTACCACGATTAATCCTGGAACTAAAACCTGGAAGAGATCGTTTACTTGCAACAGGCTCGTTGCTAGTTTTTTTAAAGTTTAGTCTTAATATTATTATTTTATTCGTGTGCGAATGAAAAGCATTAGAAACATCAATGTAATTCGCGTTTATCAATATTTTTTTTAGTACTATCACACAGTAACGGTGCCAGCCTCGCGTCGTCCCAGCGCGATAAGCAAAGTGATTGAAATGTTCCGCGGTAGACAGTCAGTTCCAACACATTCTGGCTCGTTTGACGCGGATAAACGGCGATCGGTAAGTTATATTAGATATATTGAGGAGAACTTATACGTTTGATAAATATGCTTTACTACACGCTCCTCTTAACTCGGCTTACTTTGTCAGCGTTTGCTGTGTCCCAGTAAGAACGGCTTTGCATTATGCTAACTTAGGTAAAGGCTAGTTGTAGTCGAGACTCACCGCAAAGTATGACTTCCACATTTAAAAACGTATTGGATGTTGACATACGGAAGTCATGTTATCCCAATTGGATAAGTGAGTTGGAAGTATTTACAGGAAACTGTTAGGCCAACAGAAATCTAATCTAATCTATAGAACACTATAAGCCGAATGTGTAAATTAAAGTTTACTTATTAAATAACAGAATAAATTTAGTTTGATAAAATTAGAATGAGGCGCTCTGACATCTAATAATATGTGTAAAAATTGTTATAGGTTTGGGTTGAACTAATTGTTGTTCATGCTAAGTTTTTGTAAGCGCCTCTAGATGACGTTTACTTTAATACTTTATGTTACATCATTTGTATAAGATGTCGTTGCTTAAGCGAATTAATAATCCGTTTTATGTTAGGGAAGTCGAATGTGTAAATTTCAAGTTTAATTATTAAATATCAGAATAAATTAGTTTAATAAATCTATAAAAATGCGACATCTATTTACGAATGATTAAAGGGTTTGGAATAAACCACAGCAAATTGATGCAAATTTAGTTCTTTTTAACGCCTCTAGATGACGCTAACTTAAAACTTTGTCTTACATAATTTGTACTAGATGTCGCTGCTTTAGTGAAAAAGTGGTCCATTTTAAGTTTGGACTATATTTTATACATGCATCGAGAGGGCCATACATTTATTTCGTTTTATTTAAATTCTAAATTTCAAGACCAGAAATTGTGATTTTTATAAAGTTCGTTAGAAAAAAAACCAAAACCCCTCGTGGACTAACATCTTATCAGTGGGGGGGTTGGGGATAGATCGCGAATAATTACGCACGATTGAGGTGGTAAAGCAGCCTTTAGGCCACTTCACCATCCGTGCAGTTGAGTTCCTAGGTAAAAATATAGATTACATTTAGCATTAATTAGGTACTATTCTAGGTCTAGTATTGATTTGTGAAAATATTTAACTACATTGATGTTAGAACTATAATAGTACTACTAAGGAGATAATGCGGTTTCACTATCTATTCTCATCGCATGTTTAGAATTTCATTATTTATACATACCCTATTATTTTTAAAGACATAAAAATTATTATATTTAAATTTACATATTACTAACTTAATATATATATAAAAATGCTCATAATATACATAGCTAATCGATTAGTAAAGACAAGCAACACTTACTACATACGATTATATCGATGGGTATGTCTGGCTAATGGGCTAATAATATTACTGGCGCCCAATTGACCATACTATGCTAAGTAGGCACAAATTACAAGCAAAGTGGTTTTCCGTCTTCCAATGGCTGCATTAGGATCAAAATTTCGCATTGATGTCGATGTAGAATACCTACATAAACATACAAGGCAATTACACGAAGTAAGCTTTATTTGAAATATTACGAGTGATAGAGACAAAAGATTTTATAGCTGTTTAGGGTTGTACGTATAATAAGGGTGAAATAATCTGCTTCCGACGCTTATTCATAAATGTTTGTATGTGGATACTAAATATGTTTGTAATGAAAAGGTATTAAAAGAAAAATGTTAAAGAGACAAACTAAAAACGTATAGGGTTCCCTCCATAATCGGTTTATTAGACTTTACTGTCCTTGTCAAAACTTTCCAAAACGAAATAGATTGTTCACAATTTCCGAGTAAAATTAATTTTAATAACCCAAAGAGACTTCAGCCTTTTAAGCCTTTCTCTCCTTTCCGACGTAGTATAATCGGTGCGAACTTTTTAATTAAGCGTTTATGTAGCAAAAGTTGGCGATACATATATCATGTCCTATTTCCTTGTCGTCCATTCGTCGTGAGATTCTTAGCTGACGAAATTAAACTAGCGCGAATTATGTAACCTAACATTAGTTAAGTTACATATATATTTTAGTTAATAATAAGCGCAAACCACATGTTAGCAATCATCGCAAACTTTAAGCCAAAATGAGCCTTTTAGTTTTTCCCACACACATAAATTGTAATATAACATTCTCGTTTCCGATAATGTCCAATAGGTCGACTACACTTAGGTATATAGGTAAAGAAATGCTACGGAAAGAACCCTTAAATAGGTCAAGTTAGTTTTTTTTTTAATCCAGCGTCGCAACCCCACTATCCCTAGTTTTATGTTAGTTATAAGCATATGTCTCAAACGATTAAAGCCAGCTAAAGCCAGTGACTAGATGTCGTCTAGCTTCAAACAAAGTGTTTCATTTCATACATTTGAACATCCCAATCACCTCCATCCCAACGACCGCCACCGAACTTAACTCGCGTTAAACTTTTATGTTATTTTTTTTTATTGTAACTAATTTGATTTGTTTTTCATATTTTATATTTGTCTTTTTTGTTTTATGCATGCTGTGTTAGTTTTAACGTTTACGTTTTTGTAAGCAAGATTTAAGAAACCCCTATTATAATCGATAATATATTACTATAATCAAAAATATATTATAGTAATATAATATAATTTCTAAATAATAATTCATTGGTGCAACAACCCTAAATGGGTCTTGACCTCTGATTGCATCCGTTTATTTGATATTTTATTTATAGACAACTGGCTGCCCCCGCGAACTTCGTTTCTCCTTAATGTGATTTTACTTAGCCTACCTTTTTAGTACATACCAACAATCAACATTGAACATTTTGCTATGCTACCCCAGAGACTATTCGGTTTTCCGGAATGAACATTTTTAGGTTGTTCAGTGAATTTTTCTCTATTTATCTAAACCTCAGAGTTCAACTCAATAGTTTTTAATATACAAACAAAAAAAAGAGGCGGATCGTAGAGAGGTGAAAATTAAACGGGTTGTACGTATTTTTGTATGCTATATATTTAAAAAAAAAAAAACAAAAATTTTGTATATTTTTCTTTTTTTGGGGTGGACACCCCTTATCACTTAGGGGTTTAAAATAAACATAGTAGCGGATTCTCAGACATACTAAATATGCATAAAAAAATTTCATAAGAATCGGTCAAGACGTTTCGGAGGAGTATGGTCGGAACGAACATTGTGACACGAGAATTTTATATATTAGATTAAGTTATCAGTCTTCTGTGTCTGACACATGTCATGATTTTTGGGTTTGTGACGTGGCGGTTTCACGTTTTCTTTGAACGTATTAGCAAGTGCTAATTGCACCGCCGTGATTCGATCCCACGACTTCAGGGATATGGATCGCACCCTTAAGACACTAGGCCAACACTTTATAGCTTTCTATGTTTTTCCAAAACATCAGCATACATTATTACAGTTCTACCGTGGCCGGTACTACTAGTTTCTGTCTTCTGATGGCTAAGTTGACGATATGTGTAAACATTGCTGAGTGACAAAACCATTACTGAAATTAGTGTCAACAGCCTAAACTTCTTTAATACCAATTTCAATAAAACGTAGAGTGCGACTAAAATAGCAGCGGAATAGTTAATTCGTTTAACTTTTTACTGTGCCGTAAAAAATATTGTTGCGAATTTTACGTTTGTTGTTGATACGTTGCTTTATATATGTCTTGGCAAAATTTGTTACATATGTATAATTGAAATTATATATGTTTGTAATAGATGAGACCAACACGGAATATGTTATGTGTTATTTTATTATACATGACTGTTTTTGTCTCTTAGTTACGTAAGCATCCAAAAAAATATGTTTTTCATTGGTGAAAATGTTAATCTTGGCAAATTAAAAAAAAAATCATACGTCACATTGTCCGTTGGTTTAAAGCGGATTATGACGTTACGCGAAAAATATATTTTCCTTGTCTGTTTCCTGCTAGAAAAACAACACGGACAACAATTGAATAATACCAGTAGTAAACTATCAGCTTTGTTTCAATTGCCGGGACTTGTGTAGCGAGTTATCTTATACGCAGACGTTTCATACGCAGGGACGTTTAGGTATCGTGACATCGCAATAGAGTGATAAAGGAGAATGATAATTACGAAAACAACGTTTTTTGTGAGCACACGTTTATATAAAGAAAACGTCTACGTCACATTGGTATTGTCAACGAAGATTGGGTAACAGCTCATGGTGCTCAGTTAACACTATTCCAAATGTTAAGATAAGGTATGCGCTTCCCAATTCGTTTGCGGAGTCTACTTTCATACAGTCTAACATTGCATAACAAAAGAACGTCTCGTGACAACCATGTTATCGCTCAGTGTCTTAAGAGATGCCTTCGCGTTATAACCTCACCGTGTTTATGAAGACACGTAAATTATAGTGAAGTGTCGTGATGTATTGTTGAACATGTATTAACTGCTATGGCGAATTACTTTAGATGGAAAAAGGGGAAAAGGGATGACGATATGCTCCTTTCTGAAAAGCCTCGAAGTCGATCCCTAGACCCGAGGTCCTTAGAATTGAGCGGTATACGTCTTGTTGCTCAGAACTATTATCAGGATCAACGTAATGTACAGGTGATATTTTTTTTATATAGGAGAATTAACCTTGCGTGTTGTAATAGTTTTATTCCCCGACCTCCTATTATACATTTGTTGAACATTTTACAACATAAATTCTCCAACGTTTGTGACTAACTGAGTTTATCCTGTGTTTATGACTTAAAGCAATGACGGCATCGTTGTTGAATACCTACTTTTATATTTCCTTTGGTTTATAACACTGTTTACTATTTCGCTGAAAAAATAATTATATTATTTCCTCAAAGTTCGTTATATATTTTGTCTTATGCAATGTACAATAGTACTCAGACAGAATTGGTTTATAGTACATAACTTATCAAACTGGACAGAAGGGAGTAAGACAATCACGGTTTATTTTGATAAGATGTTAATACGTGATAAGGAAGGTGGTCAGCGTAGGTATGTTTATTGTTGTCAACCGTTATCAACGGATTGCAAATATGTTTTAATTGCAAAGTACCTAGCATAAATGTCACGTCCTTGCTTTGATTTATGGTTATAAACAAAGGCGTTTCCTAATGAATAGATAAACATTTTCTTTAGTTATGCTAGAGTTCAATTTGTTTTTAATTACATTTCGGCCACGAAATCTATTTAAATGAGGTTATGTTTTAAATCAATTTGTGTAGATTTTAACTTATTATATAACTAGTGTATATATTTTCAAGTTAATTATAAAATACGGTATTATATTTAGATATTTCCATTTTTACCTTATATGTCATACTTTAAATAGGAAAGTTAATTAAATATCGGAAAATTCATGCACATTTTGTGTTTATTCATAAATTATCTTACATTATATAAAGTTGCTCACAACGAGTTCAAATTATTCTAATATCTTATATATAATGGTGGCGGTTAACCGCGTGTCAGTT